GTCTTCTACTCGCCAAACCCACATTGGAGCCGCACAACCATTGGTTATGACTATGAGTGGCCGGGGTGCAGACAATTCAGTCTTGCGGTCTTGGAAGTGGCTATGCAGAAAATAGAGGAATTGGGGTGGTTGGTGTTGAAGATTGCTTTTGAGGCGATTCTAAATAGACATATCATACCCTATAAGCTATCCATGATCACAAGCTCAATAACAACACAGCATATCTCCAACACTAGACCCGGTATGGAACCTGGTATGTGCTCATAAATCATAAAGCGGCACCCGATCGGGAGATCCCCGACGGCCTAGAATCGAATAGAGCGACAGGCAACATATGTTGCGTGGACTAGTACGGAGTAGCCACCCGGCAGTTTGTCGGCATGGATTGGCTGATGCGGCATATCGATCCTGTCCCGCATTCAAAACGGGTTTTCGCCACCAATCCCCATCATTGATTCTCATGCAAGGCGCAGATCTTTTGCAGGGGCTGTTGGATGCATTCTTTGTTTGCAGTTCGGTCGTGGTGTGGCGGGAAAGTTGGAACCGAGGATAGTGAGTTTAGGTAAGGTTTGGATAGATGCATCGATTCTCGAGGGGTGGTTTCATTGGTTGTTTAGATTGAGATAGCATATCTGATACATGCAATCTATCTACAATAATATGATATACTTTTGAATGCATACAACATAGCTGGTAGACAATGTAAACATAAGGAGTACGCTAGTTAAAGGGGAAGTGGACATTGTACCTGCGGTTGTGGAGGTGCGGAGAATTCCCGTGCGTCTGCATGGACAATGTAGGTAGTATGTCCTGTCTGTAAAACAATATTGGCAGAATCCGACATTTAATGCCATCAGATAAACTAGTTAACTAAGGCAATTGTTCCCCTTCGGGGTGACAATGGCCAGTTCCCATGGTTGACGATCCCGATCTCCTGGGCCCCAAGTGGTCGATGTCATGAAAACGGAGATCAGAGCAATGCCCCACTATGTATGTGCTTTCTACAATATATGTACGGAGTACATGCACAGATCGCAGGGGTACCTTCAAGAATGATATCTTGATACGCAGTACGTATTACCGAGACCTACAGCACCTGGGCAGCAATGCTTGTCAGTAATATATACATCCCTTGCTGGATAGGAGATTGGGCGATGATGTACAATATACGACGTACTTTTTGGGTACTTTTAGGTACTTTTGTAATAATATCCCAACTGAATCATCATATCACTGAAATTCAAGAGATGTGGATGAGGGCTCCGAAGAGAAGGATGTCATATGCACGTAGGAGTATACAAGTGTTATATTATTTCCCCTATGGCACCACTTTTAAGAGGCAACTGCGGCAAGATTGGCTTTGGATATTTATAATTTCCCCCAAACGATAGATCTCAATTGTATATTGTACTCCGTAGCTGACAGTGAGATATACAAAAACAAGGTCTCGGATTTTACATCATCGGTGGCAAACGTTCCTTTTCTCCCCGAGACGCTAATGTGAGCATCCCTTACTAGCGTCATGTACAATACGATACACCGACTCTGATTGATCGTTGTCCCGTCGATTGGGTCCCTGGGATCCACCGAGGAGTGGAGCCCGGTGGACTTTAAGTGGCCACTCCATATCTTTTTTTTCTTTTCCGTTTCTTTTCCTTTTCTATTTGTAACGGCCGCGCTAGAGAGCAGTTTTGGGTCTCGGTGTTTCCGACCGGAGGGTTCGGCTTAAAGCCTTGTGTTTTTTTTCCTGGTCAAAACCGACGGACTGGACGTGTTGATGGTGGTTTTGGAATTTGATGTCGTGTGTGTCCATGCTCAATTGGTATACTTGCATAATTAGTTTGTTGTACAACTCCATAAGTTAATAATAACTATATTTTGATCTATCAACAGCGGTGTGTTTCTGGCTCCCCCAGCAACCAACAGGTGACAGATCAAATAATCTCCCTTACCAGTCTCCTCCGTACATATCCCATGCAGTAGGAAGGCTCCGAGTTCAACAAGACCATTATCCACCGTGCAACTACCAATCACTGGATCGGTAGGTCTTATTATTCCTCAAAGCATCGGCTTGTGATTAGCGGGTTCCGATGTAATGCTAACCACTAGAGTTGTTGGGTGAATGGAGACGCCAAGGGCCATGGAGCACCAAAATTGGACTTAGTCGGGTCATAGAACACATGGATGCCCCACCCAGCTGTTTCGGTATGCACTAAGACCGAAGATAGAAGGGAAAGAACTATGGATTCGCATACTAAGGCCCGAAGAGGAATGGGGTGATCCGCACTGCCTGGGGATTGTTCCCTTTTTGCCTGTGCGTGTCGCATGTCGTATGTTGCATTATTCTGGCGTGGATATAGCGGTGAGGCGTGTAGAGTGTGTTGAAGCTAGGTGGGATATATAGTGCTAAGTACAATATACTCACGAGTCTACGCTGTAGATAGGCATTTGCATGTACAAGTACAGACATTCTTAAAGAATCGAAAAGGAAAAATAAAAACAAGCCCCAGACCAGCCAATCATCGCTAGACTAATTCGGGAGGCTATAATACCGTACGGTAATTTACGCCGCCAATTTTTCTCAATTTTCGCCAATTTCCACTTTTCCCAATTCCTCAGGCCCCCGGTAATTTGCCATACAAACACGCTCTGCCTGTCGCATCTTGATGATCCCCCCCATTTATCCTTCTCATCCCCCTTTCTACTAACATCCCCCATATCTTAGAATCGTTTTTATTATTATCCTTCTTATTACTCTGTTTATTATTATATTCTCTTCGATTATATCCTGTGTTTTATCGTGATTCTTGATTCTTCTGCTCTACTCCCTCACAATGCCGTACAACACTCGTCGCAAGTCACTATCCCTCCCATCCTTGGGAATTCACCTCCCAAATTCCACTCGTCGTTCTCCCTCTATCTCAAAAGTCCACAACGATGAGCAACCCACAAAAAAAGTCAAGAGATCGCACGGTGCTTCATTATCACCTGAACCCTCCGACAAGATGATGCGCGCTGGCCGACGTGGACTCTTTGAGTTTACACCGCCCCCTTCGCCGATGGATGGAGTGCTTGCGCCCAAGATCGATACAGAAGGAATTAACGACGACATCGTTATCGCTGTAATCAACCAATTAGAGAAGACTGGGAATCGCCCTCATCTGGTTAAAGAATTGGCCGCAGTCCTGGTCACACTAAATGTCAATGTCGCGAAGTATGTATCCACTCTAGGCTTCCTCAAAACACGATCGCTAACATCTCCTCTCTTAGTTCCGCCAATCCCGCTGCGCTGCTCTCGTCGCGCTTAGCTGCCTATATGAAGCGTCCTTGGACCGCCCTCTCGCCATGTCCGATGGCCAAGGAGCTTATTTTAATTCATCCGCGCAAAGTGTACTACTATCTTACTACGTTTCCCCACCAACCCATTCCGGAGACCGACGATCTGGTATCTGCCGTGGGTAGTAAGCACCTCACGCCCAGTGTGTCCAGTCTCGAGGATGAGGAAGACGCGATGGTGCGGGAACGTAGCCCCAGTCCCGAAGTGGACTTGTCGTCCCCCGACTTCGAGGAGCATGGTGATTTGAACCCCTCGGCTAGCCATGGCGGTTCTTCTAATCACTTCTCCACCGCTAGTAATTTGACGCGTCTTATGAACTCGCACCGTGCCGCTTCTCCGCCCCTGGAGGGTGACGAGAAGGAATTCACACAAACTGCCAGCGCCGTGCGTGAGCGTGCATCCGAGGAAAAAGCCGAGTCGAGCCGTAGCCAGTCCATCCTGTCCGAGAGCCTGAGCGCCTTGGATGACCGCGATACGCGCATGTCTGAATCGCCTATGAATGGTGGTTCCATGTCTCCGTCTCTGCCTGGCGACGGTATGTCCGAAGAAGAGTATAGTGACTACTTCTCCCACATGCCCATCGACCAAATGGCCCAGGATCTGGACGAGGCTGCCGCGACTGCTCTGTTCGGCACCTCCCCCTCTCCTTCCCTCACCTCTATCGCATCGTCTGTTTCGTCTGGCACGAGCGCATTGACAGATATGGGTGTGGACGGTGAGGAGCTTGCCGGCGTTCTGGTTGCCCCCCAGATCAGCCTCCCCGAAGATCCCGATGCGGCCCCTGTTTCGTCCCTCAAGCGCTCGCTTGATATGTTGAACAGCGGCCTCCCAGACGTCGACCTAAAGATGTCGGATCTAACGGAATCGCACGAGAGGCTTACCCTTACCCCTCGCGCTATCTCTATGAACTCGGAGCCTGTCTTCGAGTCCTGGAGAGAATTGCAGAACCCGGAGATGGTGGAAGTCGACGAGCTCGACGAGATGTTTGGCGAATTCTAAACTATCCTCGACCTGAGTCCATTTATCCCGTTTATGGTTCCGCTCTTCTCCTCCTTCTCTCCACTCCTAGCCGGGCTGTGTCCCGCCATGTTCTCTTTACCTCTTTTTACGTCGCTTGTACATGCTCATTGTTTTCTCGGCGCAATCTTTCGGCGCACCCTTTTACTTTTCTTATCGCTAATGCCTATTTTCCTTGTATATATACATATGTTTTGGACTATCTACCCTGGAAGGGTAGATTGGGAGGATATTCACGACTGGAGGAATGGCTTTACCCAAAAGTGTCAAAAAATACTAGCGTTTCTTCTCATAAATTCATCTTTCTCATCTTCATCCATGGTTGTAGTTGCAAAAGAGACAACGGTTCCTGACTAAGCATCAGGAAGGCGGGCAGCCTATCATCCATGGACAGCAGCCTAGAGCCCACCCGTGGGCCGGTTCACAGAATCCGCCACTCACTCGGCTTTCTACTGTATTTTCTTTCTTCCGCGGGACATTCGTACCTCGAAAGACGGCTCTCAAATCTCCCTTGTACATACATCTCCTTTCCCGACCTCCCATATGCAAATTCAGCCTTATCATCTGTCACAACTTTATATACATAGCGCCGCAGGAACCCAATCTCGCCAACCATACTCTCGCCAACGTAAGGGCTTCTGCGACAATGACGGCCGGAGAACCTTCGCATACGGATAAAGACGGCGCCATTCCTCCACGCGAGACGTCCACCGAGCAACCAACAGCGGGCCTCGCGCCCGCCGGACTACGCCCTCTTTCCATCGCAAATACTATGTCAACAATAGGCGCCAAGAGAACCAATCCGGGCCCGGCTTCCTTGAGCAAGACAATAGCCGCATCACAAACTAAAGTTGCTATTCCGCGTCAACGGGTCGCCGCTGCCCCGCGCTATAATCGACGTGTGCCGCGTGCTTGTTCGTCTTGCAGGCAGCGCAAGACGAAATGCAGTGGTGATACTCCGATTTGTCGTCAGTGTCATGAGCTGAGGGCTACGTGTAGCTACCCGGATGGTTGGAGGGAGAAGACGAAAAAGTATGTATAAGTGTATCTGTGCTACGCAAGCAAATATGCTGACCAGCTGGTTACAGACAAGTTGAAGCCCTGTCGGAAAAAGCGCAAGAATATGAGAATCTGCTGAAGGAATTGAGGGGCATGGTTGAGTTTAGTGCCGCAGAGCGGATAAGAAGCTTGCTGGACAAGGTTTGTTCTTCTTTCGGGATACCGGAGTGTTGCTAATACTCGTAACTATAGTATGGCCCGGAGGTGGATGATTCGTCGCAATCCCAATCCCAATCTCAATCAGCAACCCCGCAAGATGACATTCCAGAAAACGATGAACCATCCTCGCCTTCGTCTATTGGGTCTCTTGAGGCCATTGATCGAGTGGAAGAGGATATCAATCGATCACCACATGCAAGAGCAACTGGTTATATGGGGAAAAACTCGGAAATCACCTGGATGCAACGGCTACAGAGAGAGGCAGACCAACGTGCTCAAGGTCTTCCCGGGAGTCTGGAGTTTGGCCAGGATCCCCAGACTGATAATGCAGTGGCTTTGCATGCGGTTAATTATCATCTTGACGACTTGGATATTTCCGTGCCTGAACCGGTACAGCTATATGCCATGCCTCCTCGAGAGGTCACGGATCATATGTTCGAGGTTTATTTAACCACTGTGCATCCGTTCTTCCCCATCATCAACAAACCTCTTTTCTCAGCACAGTACCGGACGTTCTTTGACAGCGCTGCTCGACCCGGCGACAAGTGGCTTGCTATATTGAACATGATATTCGCAATTGGGGCTAAACATGGCCATCTCATCGACGCACCATGGCGTGGGACCGAGAAGGACCATTTGATATACCTAACCAGAGCCAGGATTCTTAGTATGAACGGTGATGTCCTGTTCAGCCATCCTGATCTCCAACAAGTCCAGGTGGAGGGCTTGATTGCATTCTACCTTCTCGCTTCTGATCAAATCAACCGGTGGGTTAAGAACTTCCTTTCATTAACTAAATTGAGCCCGCCATAACACTTAATAGGGCGTGGAGAATCTCGGCCTTGGCAGTGCGGTCTGCAATCACACTTGGAATCAACATGAAAAGCAGCAGTCCAACCACACCTGATCTTTCGAAAGAAGCCCGTTACCGAGTCTGGTGGTGTCTGTACACATTTGAGCACCTACTCGGGATAATGACCGGTCGCTCAACTTGTATCCGGGACGGAGTGTGCACCTCGCCATTCCCGATTCCATTTGAAGAAGAACAGCTACAAATGCCCGAAGCCGTCGAAGTACTCACAGACGCGACACTACGAGACGAACGGATCAACAACGTCACGGCAAGTGCGCGTATCAGACAAATGCCGCTCCACCCGGTAAATGGTAAAGATGCTAGTCACCACACTCGAGCAAAAAACACTGAATGGATCAAAAACCTACCTATCAACTACGGGCTCTGTCATCTCTACTATTGCGACTTGACAGTCGTCGTGCAAGAAATCGTCAATAAAGTCTACTCAGTAGACTGCGTGATGGTGCCATGGGCACAGATCGAGCTCCGGATTAGTGAACTCAAGTCCCGAACCGACATCTGGAAATCCAGCCTTCCAACCGGGCTTGACTTCACACGCAAGGATGATAACGGACCAGATATTTATCGCTGCAAAATCAGCTTAGCGCTGCATTACTACAGTGCGCGAATCACACTAGGTCGCCCCTGTCTCTGCCGGCGCGACGCGCGCCGAAGGGGCGCGCACCCCTCCTTCAGTCACGAAATGGCAGTGATAACCCTGCACTCTGCACGGCATATGCTGGATCTAGTCCCAGATGAGCCAGATGCCATCCAGCTATACCGCATCGCTCCATGGTGGTGCATCCTCCACTACCTCATGCAAGCAGCGACCGTCCTCCTCCTCGAGCTCTCCTTCGGCACCGTCCACATGCCTGAAGAAGAAAGCAACTTCGTCGCCCTGTCCAAGAAGGCAATCCGTTGGCTCTTCGCCATGTCCGAGCAGAGCATTGCCTCCCGCCGCGCCTGGCAGCTCTGCGACCTCAGCCTCCGCAAACTGGCTCAGGGCATGAAGTACGACATCAGCGACATGCCTTCCTACCCATACACCCCAGAGCCTAAAAGCACTATCAGCCCGGAGCCGCTAGCTGGCCAGTCTGTATCTCAAGCCCATGGCGACTACTGGGGCTCGCAACTAGAACATCTCCCCGTGTCTGTTCCGGATGGACCGCCTCACGAAGACCACGACACCTCGACCGCGGACCTGATGACTTCGTTGACGGCCGAGGCCCAGGACTCGTACTTCCCTTATGATCCTATCTCAGGGGAGTTTATGCGCTCTTTCTTTCCTCATGCTAATGAGAATGAGAATGAGAATGATAATTGGGAACTTTGAATATTGCATACATTTATCGCCCATACTCACTTCACGGTTGTTTTGTGTATGAAAAAAAAGAAAAAACCTACAGAATAACATGTAAGAACATGAGGAGGGCATGCGAGCTCGCATCTCTCTATTTTTTTTCAACTTACTTGCCCACTTATTACATACCCCAATCCATCGCCCTATATCCAACACCGTCCCTATCCTCAGCAGTATACCTAGGAACCATTTTTAACATTCATCTCCCTATCCCTACCCCTATCCCTATCCCTATCTTACTCATTCCTTATTTTCTTCCTTACTGATATTCATCGCTTCTTGCATAAGGAACTGCTTGCTCTCTATTAGGAATTAGTGCAGTGAAGCACAGAAGAGCATCTCTCTTTTTTTCTCTCCATTTTATAAGCCTTTCCCCCTTTATCTACCACAAATATCTTTCTGCATTACAGATGTTTACAATGGGTTACGGATGCCTTGAAAGTGATATCTCATGATTGATATTAGTATTGCAACGACTTTGAGGGACCGGGGCTATGCCCGCTCTACAGCTGGACTTACAACGGGGGCTTGAAGATGTTGGGATTGCCATAAGACTAGAACTTTTGATACTAAATTCATTCACATTCATTTGTCAACTTACTCATTAATGCAATCAGCACATCGTAGAGTAAATATCCAATCCGAAGAACCGTCCTGGCTCAATTACACACACAGCCTTCTCAAGAGATCCAAGTGAGAAAAAAAATAGTATATACATTCGAGAATAGTTTTTACTTTGAAGATAAAAATACATGGCCAGGACCCATAAGCAAAGAATCAGCCTAGATCTTGGGATTATCATAAGGCCACTTCGGCTCCGGCTCCTCTGCCGGCGGCAAAGACTCCGCCAATTCCTTCGGCCAGTGAGATCTCATGAACGGATCGGATCGGTTGTACTTGATCCGCATCCTGACGGGCCTGCGCGTGGGGGAAGAAAAAACCCTTCGGAGCTGCATGCGGCGCATGTGGCCGGGGATCTCGATGTCGACTTGGTCTTCTGGGAGACCGAATTTCAGGAAGGTCTCGAGACAGAAGTCTAGGATGGACTCGAGCTCGGTTTGGGGCATCTTGCCGGACTTTAATTGATAGGGGTATTCCTTGCGGGAGATGGAGGGTGTATATGAAGCGGCGGGGTCGTAGATGAAGGAGGAGGAGGAGGGGGAGGAGGAGGAAGTGGTGTTATTCGGGTCGGTCTTGGTCTTGGATTTACTGGGACGGCAGTGGGGTTGTTCGTCAGTGGCTTGTTTCACGCACTCTGCATATTCTCGGACGGCACTTCGTGCGAGAATGCGGACGGTGTTGAGGTCTGCTATTGTGGCTTTGCTTCGGACATGGTTGACGTAATCTGCGTCCCAGCCTGGGGAACCGTGTGAATTGGCCCGTTCATCACTGAACAGCAGCCGGGCAACACCACCTGGAGATTGGAGCTGGCGCTTGGGAGATACCCAGTCGACACAGACTTTATCCCAGAGCTGCTTGCCGACGATAGCGCCCTGCGTTTCAACGACGGCAGCGAAGATCTCGTGGAAGGTGGCTGGGGGAATCAAAGTGGCCTTGTGGTGTCCGGTGATTTCCTTGGGTGGCTCCACTTGTTTGAGGATGTCCGGGAGAGGACCTGGGATGAGGGAGAGCACGCGGTGCATACGAGAGAGTGTTCGAAGCTGGAAGTTCCTGACTTTCTCACGAGTAGTATTAGCATGCCACTCGCCGCGGAAAATGCGGAGCAAAATGTCCGTGGCCTGATTCAGGTCTTCTGTGTCTGCCGGAGTCAAGGTGCCGGCGGATGTCTTATGTTTAACGGTGGCATCGAGCCGAATTATTGCACTTGCCAGTACGCCAATATTGATGTAACCCCAAGATTTAGCTCGGTGCTCGGTCAGGAAGTTGAGCATCAGCACCACGCGCTTCCAATCTTTTCGTGTGATACTGAAATTGATCAACGATTTGATGGTGTTCACAGAAAGAGGGATCGCGAGCGACGCGATGACACGCTCGCCAAGCTCGACATTAGCAGTGGCAGATGCAAATCGAAGGATAGATGGCGCCAGGGCCTGGTTCCCGTATGCACGTTGAGGGATGGCAGGGCCATCGATGTCATTTTCCAGGAGTAGTTGTTGGCCAAAATCAAACGCGTGGGTTGTAGTCGCCACGTCAAGGAGATTGGCAAAAGTGGGGCAAGACAACTGTGGAATAGACGATTGAGAGATATCATGAGGTTCAAAAGACTTGAAATCAAACAACAGAGAGGCTTCTTCGTCGCTGGCTTGGCTCACCCGTTCAAAAAACCTTTGGATGTGCTGTGCCTTGCTTGCATCGGAAATATTTTGAAGCCAAGCATACTCGTGGAAAAGCCGTCCGCTTTGCTTGTCCCGAGCGTAATAATTGAGATTGAACTCGATCAGGCCAGTCATAGCGGCCGATTCATCATAGAACTGCGCCCGCGTTTTCCCATCCAACACTTGTGCCAGGCTCAACTCGTTCCCTTCCCACGGAGGAACAACATTGTTCTGGGACCTTAGGAGATCCTCGAAGGCAACAGGATCAGAGGACGGTTTTAAACAGCCCGAGGCCAATATCCGTACAATGTGCCAATTGGTGAACCTGTTCGTTGGCCGAAGCTCCTCACGGGTGGACAAGGGAGGATCAATAAGTTTAGTCAGAGGGACTGATAAATTGGTGAGATCCTCAGGAAGATATCCACGATCTCCCATTCCGACATAGGCCTTGTTCGCCAAGCCGCTCCGCAGTGATGCGACCACTTCAGAGCTGATAGTTCGGAATCCAAGTCCATTGAATGGTTCTTTGTCCTGGCCCTTGAGTATTGGGGGTTTCTCATTTTGGCCTGGCCGACGCCATGATTGCTCGACACTGACATTAGTTTTTTGTACTGTAGCAAGGTCATTTATTAGAGGCGCCCAACTCTCAGCCTTCCATTCGATAAGCCGGGTCATTTGATGTACGAGTAGTGTGCCCGTTCTGCAAAACCCATGCTCCACACAACACCATAGAATGAGCTCAAGCCAAATCTCAGGACCTAGCTCTCGAATTCCCGGTGTGTAAGGAACGAAAGGTGACAGCTTCCCTGCATCAGCGGCTGCAGCAGCCACTGCGATTTCATGTTCATGCCACGCCGCGTCAGACAAAACGCTCATTATGGGACCGGACAAAAAATGGAGCCCTGGCGGGCGGAACACAATTTGGCTGGCATCTGGCTTCGGATATTGATAAACTCTATCGGAGATCATGCCTGCATGGTGTAAACGGGCAAGAGTTCGATATACGCAGGACATTGCATGCTTTGAATCATCTGACCGACTGCGTGTAGCATACAAAACCAAAGAGCCGAGGTTTGCGAGTACTTCAGCCAAAATTCTCTCTCCAAAGAATCTCGGTGCAGGTTCCACCGTCAGCGTATCAAGAGAAATGTTATCTGACGGAAGGGGTTCGAGACGAGACCATTTCCAAGGGGATGATGATTTTGTGCCTCCCGTGAGCTTGCTGAGAGAGACCTTCGAGGTAATGGGAGACACCAAGTTGGATGTTGATTCATCTCTGCGGCGCACACGATATGGTCTATTCCAATCAAGCCCAGCCGAAGGGTGTTTAGGAGGCATATGAGTAGCTAACAACTCATAGGTGTCTATCAGGCTGTTTAGAAGAGCCTGCACATTAGACCACTCATGGTGCGCAAATCCCAGATGCGCAATGAGTTGGAATTCAAAATGAATCCTTCCATCCCATAGACACCCTAGTAGAGCATGGGCCCGATCAAGCTCATGTTCGGATTCGCGGAGTGGTCGAAGCCGCCTAGGCTGGCCAGCAGGTTGGGCGACGTCTGGTGGTTTGGTAGTTTTTGGTGGAATACAATCCCTCAGCACTGGCATCCATTCCTCGATGTGTCTCTTCTGGTCATGCCGGAGGCGAGGGTGTTTGATTAAATTGTATCGACGTAGAAAAAGAACTTCATCTGGGAAATTAATCTCCCTTTGGTCATTGCGAGTTTTGCGGGTGTATTGCGTCCAAGTCGGCCGGGAGAAAGGAGACACAGATCGATATGGGATGAACGGTAGGCGTGAAGCAGTTGGCCTGCGACCGAATGGCAGGATGCGGCCGGGGCGCAAGCACCTGCTCATGGTACCGCAACGAGGCTCAAAGGCGGGTGTATAGGTTTCGCGATCTCGATGGGTACGGGATTGGCGTGATACATGTCGATTTCACAGGTACATAGCGGAATATTCACGAGATTCAATTGAACCCCATACCAACAGGGGCAAATGACGACCAAAGATGGGAGGTGAGGTAAATGTTGTTTCGAGAATTTTGGAGATCAGGAACTGCTGAGTCAGCACCGAGCTATGAGCCAATCGGAGGCCACAGAATGCGGAGTTCTTGACAATATAGACCCTACATTGGAACTATAAGGGGATTTTCTCCTCGGATATTCTGATTTGGATTAAATGATATGTAGAATCAGTATATTTCTGCTTAGTGAGCTCTGAGTCACGCGATATCCGATGCCTGAGCACTGAGGGCGCGACTGCTACGGATACGGCTATCTAAAGAACGCCATTACTATCAACATCTACCCACATTCTTACTGGTCGAGAGCCTTTATCCACTCCAAAGTTCTTCACGAAGCTTAGAAACGACTTCGATAAAGGTAGAAGAGAGCTGCTGTATAGTCGGCCAAGTTTATCTTGGATACCAAAGACTCAAGAGTGCTCGGGGAGATGAGGTTCATGAGTCCACCCATGAATTGACAAAGAATTTAGGAAGAGGTGCCACGGCATATTGGCATGAAAAATATCTCGCAAATTCGATACTGTTTGTGCTGTTTGTGCATGCCATGAAGTACAATGAAATGTTGCCATAGGGGCTTCGATCTAGGTTTCCGGGTCCGTTCCCAACACATGCATACAAGACCATCCGCTAAGGCTATCTGAGGTGGTAATAGCTTCTACTTTTCTAATTTTGTGATGGTTATGTTATGTGCTCACAACTTTACCGTTTTACTACTTATTCTACATAGCACTCGGGAAAAGACTCCAAGATAGCAACAATATCTTCTCTATGCTGATCCAGCAGCGACGAGAAACACAGTAATGATCTATCCCACATGCCATGCGAGCGGAACTGCAAAGCACAAAATCTAGTACAACATCTGACGGGCATGATGACGAGCAAAGTCTCCCTGCTCACCAGCAGGAAGGGCAGTCACGGTCGCGATAGGCAGAATGGTGAAGGAACCGCTAGAGGACTGGCTGCCTGAGAAGCCACCTGGGAATCCAAGGGGGGCACCGGTAGACTCGGGGAATCCAGAAGGCTCGACGGTAGGGGTACTGGAAGGAGCGCTGGTGGGCTTGGATCCATGACCGTGTCCTTCGTGGCCAGGTCCTTTACGACCAGGTCCGTGACCAGCTACTTGGCGATCAAAGGAAAATCCAGTAGGCCATCCAGTGGGCCATCCAGTCGGGGTGCCACTTGGAGTGCCAGTTGGGGTTCCGGGTGGGAAACCGCCAGGGAAGCCACCAGGAGGAGAACCGGTAGGGGTAGCAGCGGAGGTCTTGTCGGCGTGCTGGCGAGAAAATGTCAATAAAGAACGAGATCTATGAGGATCTATAGTGTAGATACTCACAGGCAACTTCCAGGCTACGGCAGACGGGGCCAAGAATAGGGCGGTAATGCCAAAGGTAGCAGTGAATTTCATGATAAAGTGTTGAGTTATTGGACAATTCAAAGTGAAAGTAGAAAATGAATGGATGCTACCGGTAGCAATGTAAAGAAAGACCTGAATTGAGAAGAATGAAGGTGCACAGCACTGTAGTTGAAAAGAAATCACCGAGAACAGGAAGGTCTAGCTGGTTATATACCCCTTGCGTTTCACTGTTGAGAGTCAAAATGATGGATTGAGCCGTTAAAAGGCCATCGAAAGACCGCCAAAAGAGTATGTGTTCCGCGAGAGGAGTGGGATCTGCAGGGGACCAGGTCTCATCCCATGGCGAAATAATTCAAGCAGGAGGGATCTTCATAGATACGAAAATAACCCTATCACCTGGAGTGTGTCATATTGCAGTGGAACCAGGAGCCACGGCACAGATGGTGGATGGAACGTATATTGTGCGGAGCAGGTTGTTTCAGACAAAAAAGACCTCGATAGAACGGGCGAATGATAGTTCTCCACCTTGTTCTGCACATCAGCTCCTGTCGATCACTTATGTATCTGATGAAGGAGGTGTGTCCTATTTAGATGGAGATTGGTGGAGCCCTAAAGGCGGCAAGCCCACGAAGGTCTAGAAACATATACTGAGCAACGTTGTATATTACTAGAAAGAATATAACTTGTGGGATTTCTTTTTCCTGAGAGTATTTTGTATGATCGCTCATTTGCGGATAATTATTGCTGTAATAAATCTGATGTGAACATGCCCAATCCTCATACTATGCTTTATTCCCTGTGTCTAGAATAAGTTATGTACTTCAGATTGTTTTTTTATAGAACACTTTATAGTTAACAAACTAGATTATGGAGGTACTTCTATAGTGCCATGCACTGGTCAAATCTTACATACTACGCGAATGATACCTAACTACATGTGGTCTAGGGCCTACACTTCAAAGCTTTTGTTGTAACTTATCCAATCCGTTGTGGCAGACCATCAAGATGTTCTCAATTCTGTGTAGAAAACTTTAAAAAGCCGTTTCCCTTCCCCTCTGAATGATCGACCAAGGCGGTAAAACTAAGGCAAAACCAAGAAAAGGCATTCACGGGTCCGCCGTGTACAACTAGAATATGAGGACATGCGAAAAGGAGAAATGACCGTCTTTCCACCTCGTAGTTACCTATCCTGGTCCGACTAGCACTATTAGTCATCATACTGCTCTTCCAAGGTTGGCTGTTTTGTCATTCATCTGGAACCTGGCCGACCAATGCCAACCATATCGGCCCGAAATCCGGTTTCTTGTGTCCCACCTCGAAAATGCTACCGTCCGGGTTAGGCGGATCATGCCCTGGACCCATAGTAGGGAAATAGCACAGTCCAACAGTGTACATTCGCCACGAGTCCCAGATAACAAGCCCCAGGCGGCGCCAGGGCCTGAAGTGGCTTAAGCCCAATGAACGGCGATCCGTTCGAGAGACCATCGCATTTGTCATTCGGAAGTACCTGACATGCATTGGTCCTCGCGAACGCCATTTTGGTGCAAGCAGCCACCGTGTCGATATTGTTGTTTCGTTATCGGGGGGTATGGGCGGCGGAGACCAGATGGGCATGGATTCACTAGAAGACAGACTGAAAGAGTGGAAGAAAGGAATTGGTGTTGCTTCGGGGAATTCCCAGGCAGCGTGGGAGGACTCGGGTCCCTCCGTGTCCATTATGAAGCACCGAGATCTTACTAGCTCCGCGGCGTAGTGCAGTAGGATGGGGTGAGGCCTAAGTCTGACAGAAGGGCGGCAATCGTCCAGATTGGCTCGTTGTCTCCGCCAGGTATTTCATTCCAGACACTGTATGCGTCTAGGTCCCAAATTGATTGTGTAGGCCAATTCCAGCTTTCTGTTGCAGCTTTGCGAAAGGCCGAATAGTGTTGGAGATGAAAGAAGGAACAGTATGTGCGGTATTCTTCAATCCATGAGAAGGGCTTCCGCGCTTTTTCTGCGCGCTCAGGTCCGCTCAGAGATCCGACTGGTATCTCACTGAGGGTAGAGACAAAATTCTGCTGCATAAGCGATAGGCAAGCACAGGCAAGGCGCTGTATTTCGGCAGCTAGGTGGATGATGCCGAGTGATGCCCTGTAATCCAGATTTGGCGTGCCCTCATATACTTGTTGGCTGTGCGCAAAATCCGTGTAATGCGAGGTATGAACAAGGCTGATGTTGTAGCATAGTCTCTGTATCTCCGGGAAACTGGTAATAGGGTTTGCCAGTAAGAGGGCATGTATAATGGAGGGTTGAGCCCGGAAGACAGCGTGGACTTGAGAGGATACGGATATGAGGTTTTCTATAGCGGCAAAATCGGCGATATGAGTGAGGATTTGTTGGTTCAGTTCTGCAGGTAGTTGAGTGAATGGGTCCATGGTGGAGGAAATACTGGCAGTGAAGTGTGTGAAGATGAGAAAGACAAAATTGGGAGGTAGTTCCTTAAGTACTACACACCTACCCTGTGTCTCCGCCAAGCCCGGGCTAATTCTCAACTACGCACTATAAGGCACTGTAGAACACTTGATATCGTACTTGATTGTTTGAAGACATTAAATTACTAGCGCAAAAGGACCACCGGGATAAAATGGAAAGACCAGTCAACGCTCGTTTGTGAGTATGCATTTGTTCACACCACAACTGCTTCATTCCCGTCATGCGCCCTTATAATTGCCAATATAAAATAGAAGATGCTTTTCGACGAATCCACTCTTGTTTGTGGTCTTAAACACGCGCACCTGGGTTGGAACTTTCACTCCCAGCTCGGGTTTATGCTGGATAAGCATATATGCGACCCCAACCCCGTTTGGAGTCCGTAGAAGTGCCTTGCTTTCGTCACTTTCCATGCTAAAGGTCGTGCCTGGCCATTCTTTAGCAACATTCCCCGTGGCCTCATTGATGATCTTCAAGGTATCCTCATTCTGGACATCCTTCCGAATAAAGTACTTGAGGTTCTTGATCTTGTTACTCCCCGCGGCCAATTTCTGCCATTGAAGAAAATAAACGTCCGATAGCTTATACGGCGAGGGCCGGGGACTATCTTGATTTCGGACAGGGCTTTCGTTGTTTTCTGCAGAGATGTACCCGGCCTGCACACTCATACTCCCCATATAGAACCCATCGCTCGGCTGTATGAACCAATCAGTCTCCCGGCCTCGGCAAAGATCAAGCACTTACAATTTCTCGTCCACCTTTGTAGTCAAAGGACTTATCCTGATTCCAGAAAAATCCTATCAATCCCCTTTTCCCCACTTCCGTCGGAAGTTTCAAAGCCTTGAGCTCCGCAGCCATGGCCCCAGCTGTTGTCGTCAACCCGCTTTCACTTAGTTTGTACACTCCCTCGGACCAGTTTTCTTCCAGTTGCTCTTCTGTGGCATCTGAACGCTTGGCAGTCTGAGCGTATAGATAGCATAATAATTCGTTCTCGGCCTTTCTTGCACCGTCAGCCACGTCCACAGGGGGAGCGCGCTTGGATAGGTAATGAAGTTCATTTTCTGAGTGCAGATAGTTCCGGGAAGAGAGAGTCGCATTATGCAGTAGATAAGGCTCATCGTGCGAGGAGGAATAATATGCATGACCAGCAGGGCTGCCCTGGCAGAGGCAAAAGAGGGCAAGTCCAAAGAGAATGCCGATGGTCCAACGGAGGGCCAGGATATTGGGTGCCATAGTTATGGAAATAATGGCCAGTTCCTCGAACAAAGCAGCACTTGGAGATAAGGCACTATATTAACGAAACTAAAGTTGCACCAACATCTAGACGAAGGCTTCTCTGGCTATATTGGGAACAGGAATGATAATTTGGTCCTCCAAATCCTAAGCCCCGTTACTGCGCACTGGAAATTAATATCACCTGCTAGTCTCTGGCCTCTTACAAATTCAGCTAGCTGCGTCCAGTATCTACCACGAGATATCACAGATTCATTTGTACAACATACCCCGTATCTGGCTACTAGAGATCACTAGTATGTTTCATTGCGACAGGGTCAATGCAGCGCAAGCAATAGTATCGGGAGATATTGTAGGCCTGTGGAGCGACATGGTATTGCTAAAGGCATTTAGAATGTCCGCGTAGTAGTAACACATAGTAGAGTGAGGGCCGGGGGCTTCAGACGTCGAGTTCGAACTTCGGGGGATACCTCCAGTATGTTGTAGGAGCACGAAGAGAACATCCGTTCGTTCCGTTTGGACCATGAAAATAATCCGTAGCAAGTTGAGGATCTACAATCACAGGTCTGGCCCCTATAGGCAATCCTACGGAGCCGTCCAGTTTCTTAGCCCTATCCACGTCGCACACTAGAGAGTCGTGATGCTACCTCGGGTATAGTAGGGGACCCGCGAGCTGACCGTGGCTCTGTTCTTATTGCAATAGCCTATTTAGTAGAGGAACCGAGGTAGACTAGCAGGTATTGCTATCTTAGAGACGTTCAGCCAAGAGAAACATTAGAAATCCGTGTATTATTTTTACTCGGCATGCCAAGCCCGCTACCTGCATATGCCAAGCAATCTTTGCTTCCGCCTTCATAAAGTCTAAATACCACGCTAGTCTATATTTGGCTGTTGTAGAGCGGAAGAGCGCTTTCTTAGTTTAACGTCTCTTAAATGCCTCTGAGATGAAACAGCCGCTGCAGCGATCATGGGTCTAAAGGTGGAGAAGCTAGGAAATTCCCTCGTTCTACAGCATTAGCGGCCATTAGGCTAAATTCACCATGTAAACGGAAAAAAATGTGAAGCCAATTGTATATCCATCACTCGATTAGCAAGATTATCAGAGCCTAAAGTTCTATGTGTGCGTCGCCACGAAAAAGAAGCAGGGACAAATACACCGTTATGTAGACTCCTCTGTACTTCACAAGATAAAATAAAACTCATCCGCCAGGAAAGAAGGTGGGATCCATTGCAATAATTTCTTTTCTTCTTCCTTCCCGAGGTCGAAGGTTGCATTACCCGGTCCTTACCTTTACACTTTGTCATCCAAAGGGAAAGCCCTAGAGGGCAACATGCCTTCGTCATTGTTTTCTGCTGGCTTTATTGTGCAGGCATTGGCACTACTTGCGGCCTTGCCCTATGCTAGTGCAGGCCCTTCTGATGATGTTTGGTCTCTACTATTGAGCCCCTGCCCTAGGGACTGTAGTGAAACCTCCTCACCCGCAGAATGGGCTGTATATAACAGCCTATATCAACTATCTACTTGCAACCAAACAACCCGCGTTGCATTTTCCTTGTACAATCCTTCATCTGGTATTCGGGCCTGTTCCACGTCCACAGGCGTCCTGCCCGTTAAGGCTGCGATAACCGATATTCTTAGCAAGGAATTTGCAGCCGAGAAAGTGACGCTCGAGATTGGCTGGTGGGATACTCAGACTGCTTCCAGCCCTGCAGGCGTGAGGTCTGCCGTGGAGGACGTAAGAAAGGCCCTTCTAACCTCGGAAAACAACGCATCCACAACGGCTTTCAGCTATTCCGGAAATTCACTTGTTGGTTTATATGCTGGACAGGGAATCTTGCACTCTGATGTCGCCACGATAGCGTTACAGCATTTCTCACAGTATCTCGAAACTCGGGATACCATTGGACGAGTCGTCCTGCAGTCCTGTGGCGTTAACTCCAACAAAGGACTCGGTATTGTTGTTGACGCAACCGCTGATCTGGCTACTGTTCAAAGAATTATGCGGGACTGGAATGAGGCCAAATGTCAGAAAGAGTTTGATGGTAGTAAGATCATGTCGAAGACTGATCTGCGGATGAGGATACCCACTCATCTGGCCAACTTCACCACCGCAACCTCCAATCATGTCGCTCGCCGAAATAGACATTCTTCTCACGCTAAACATTTACAACATCGGCGCACGACTTGCAATACTATTCAAGTCGTGGGGGGCGACTCCTGTGTATCTCTTGCAAAGGAGTGCGGTATAACCCCTGCAAAATTCACATAGTATAATTCTGATACGAAACTGTGTTCTTCATTGCAGATTGGCCAACATGTATGTTGTTCTGCCGGTGATCTCCCTGACTTGAGGCCCATGCCAAAGCCTGATGGCACATGCGCTTCTATCCTTGTTCAGGCTGGTGATTATTGCTCTGCAATAGCAATTGCCAACAGTATTACTATCCAAAACTTGGAGGACTTCAATAAGAAGACTTGGGGATGGATAGGTTGCGATTTCCTTCAAGCGCAGCAGCGAATCCGCCTCAGCAAGGGTGATCCTCCCATGCCTGCAATTGTTGACAATGCTGTTTGTGGCCCGCAGGTCCCTGGGACAAAACGTCCTACTGATGGGACGAACATTGCTGATCTTAATCCTTGCCCGCTCAAAACATGTTGCAATATCTGGGGCCAGTGTGGAATAACGGATGACTTCTGCACCATTACCAAATCACCAACTGGAGCACCCGGTACAGCAAAAAAGGGGACAAACGGCTGTATATCCCACTGCGGGACTGATATCATCAAAGACGGCTCTCCTCCGGATAAATCATCACTATTGGCTATTTCGAGGCATGGAACTTTCAGCGTGACTGTCTGCACATGGACATTACCGACTTTGATACTTCAGTATATAGCCATCTTCACTTTGCCTTTGCAGAAGTCAGCGACGACTATAACGTAAATATCTCTATGGTCCAAGAACAATTTGACAAGTTAAAGGACCTGAGCTCGGTGCACTGTGTTCTATCCCTTGGCGGATGGTCTTTCTCGACGGGGGCGGACTTGTTCCCTATCTTCCGCGAAGGCGTGACAGATGCGAACCGGGAGCTTTTCGCAACCAATGTTGCTAATTTCATTGTTCATCATGATCTGGAAGGTGTGGACTTTGACTGGGAGTATCCTGGGGCTCCAGACATTCCTGGTATTCCTCCTGGTGATAAGGGTGATAGAGATCTATACCTGGAGTTCCTGAAGTTGGTCCGCGACAAGCTGCTATCTGAGAGGACCTTGGCAATTGCAGCACCCGCCTCTTTCTGGTATCTGAAAGGCTTCCCTATTGCCAAGATCTCAGAGGTTATTGACTATATTGTCTACATGAGCTACGACTTGCACGGACAATGGGATTACGACCACAAATATGCTATTCTTGGATGTCCCGAGGGTGACTGTCTGCGCTCCCATGTCAATCTTACAGAAACGATAAGCGCCCTGTCAATGGTAACTAAAGCTGGCATTCCATCTTCGAATGTTATTTTTAGACTGTCTAGTTACGGGCGGTCTTTCAAGATGGCTAAAGAAGGCTGTACCGGACCTATGTGCAGATATGAGGGCCCGGCATCTGGCGCACAACCTGGAAAATGCACCAAAACAGCAGGATATATATCTGATGCAGAAATCAATGAGATCCTACAGGAATATGACACAGCTAAAACAAGCTACGATCAAAGTAGCGACAGCAATACCCTGGTGTACAACTCCACGCAATGGGTGGCCTACATGGACGATAACACCCGATTCAGCCGGACCGACTACTATGAGAGCCTCAATATGGGCGGTACAACAGACTGGGCCGTTGACCTGCAGTCATTTGCATATAGCTCAGGTGGTCGCCCCGGGGCCGGCGGTTCTGGTTCTGGTTCTAATTCTGGCTCATTCAACCAATCCATTGCCATCATCGGCTCGAGTATCTGGAAGGGAGACAGCCATGCGGCGACATGCCGCGCGCCCTGCGTGCTTGTGCTCCCCAATTTCCCGCTTTCATCTACGTCCGTTTTCACTCGTCCACCGTATGTCACCACACTGGATGTCGCTTGGCCAACTACCACGACGGTGACGAGTAATGGCATAGCCATTACGACCACAACCCTTACACACATCCTACAGGAAACTACTCTTCAGGCTCCCCCTAGTAGGTCTTACCCTTTTCCATGTCTGTCTTTTTTCTTGGATAGCGTCTAATGATTCTTTAGTCACTGTATCCTCTATCCCGATAGCTAATATCAATGTCACTATCCCGCTCGGCAAAGACGACAATATCACTCTCACGCCGAAGGCGCGATTCCCTGCGCAGACCTTCACGATCATAAATGATCCCAATCCGTTGAAGCAGACTGGCGTCACGCATCCGCCGGTCACTAGAAGTGTCACTCTGCCTCCCTGGCCTCAGGCCACCGTCGTCTATTACGGTGATGATGGTCAAGATAGCAACGGCGACAAAAACGACGACAACAACGGTAACGACGGCAACGGCGACAAAAACGACGACAACAACGGTAACGACGGCAACGGCGACAACAACCACGGCGGCAACAATAACGGCAACAACAACAACGGCGGTAACAACAATGGCGGCAGCGGTGGCGGCGGCAACAACGACATTCATTTACCCAAGATTCCCAAAATCACTCTTTCCGAAGGCCCCGAAGGACCTGAATGTCCTCCGGAGGAAGACTGCGATGGTGGCTGTGTATTATTTTGTCACTGCTTCATATGTCCCGGCGGAGGTGTGAGCGGGAGCGGCGGCGGCGATGGCGGATTCCCAGACCCCAGCGATCCGGTTCCCCCTCCCCGCAATCCAACAAGCAACAATAAGGGCCCAAGAAAGAGCTGCAGCAAGTCTTCCACAGTAACAGACTACTGGGTGTCGTGCGAGAGCAAGGGGCCGACGTCAACCTCGTGCACTACAACAAGTAGCATGCTGCACGTCGGCTGCGACGTGTCAGCCAGCACAACCACCACCAGGGCTAACGTCTGCCACCTGATAGACAGGGATGAGGACCAGGGAGACAACAGTAAGAACAGACCTAGCGACAATCCCGATCCAAAGCCAACTTCCACCACTTCCACCACTTCCAGAACCACCTCAACATCCCCAGCCACTTCAATAGCCACAGGAAAACCCGTCCCATCGGGCCTGCCTCCTCCCGCGACGACATCCAATTTGTCATCTTCGATTCCAACAGGAAAACAGGCGACGGCTCAACATGGCATTGGGCCGGATACCTCCTCCCCAGCCTTGGCTACGACGACGAGGACGTCTGCAACGAGAAGTACGAAGTCATCTCAGACCCCCACGTCGAAGATAACCAAGCTTGGCCTTTCTCCATGGGCCCCTTTAATGCTCCAGGTTTAGATTACTGCTTCTTCCACAAATTCGCGGACCCCCCGGTAACCCGGGCTTTATCTCCTGTACCAACCATGCCTATCTGACGTGGTGCATAGGGCTTGACGGTAAACATGCGGCGAGGAAGCCGGCGCATACATGTACCGGGAGTGGCGGAGAGAAGACCGAGTTCTAGCTTCAGGCTTGGTGCAGTTTGAAGGGGTAGAAATAGCTAGTTGCCGCCATTATGCAGATGGCCTAGTTTCAGCTAGGGTACCGGACTTTGCATACCAATACCTAGTAAGTGGGAGAAGTAGAAGAATGGAAAATGAGACGAAGGGAGGACGAGCGGCGAAGACGGGGTCTTTTGTGTTAAAAGGCATATTACAAAAAAAAAAAAGCAAGAAAGAAACTCATACCAAAAGAATATATGCAATGCGCGTCCTGAACTGATCCCGGGGTATTGTACATGAAACCAACACAATTAAATTGAACGCCAAATCGTCAAATCGTCAAGTGACTTCAAAGCTCCTCAAGAACTTCTTCTTCGCCAAGCTCTTGTTCCACTTCGTCGACGACAAAGCTCTCGTAGTCTTCAAGACCTTTTTGAACATGTACTTTGAAGCGAATCACGTCATTAAGCATCGTTTCGACGTTAGTGTGCAACTCCTCTCGGAGGGAATTTGCCCGAAGCGTCAGTTGTTCGTATTCGATATTGGTGTTCATCTCGCGCTGCTCCATCAATTGTACACTGTCGCTGAGCGTAGCGCGCATCTTCGCCAATTCCTTCTCCATTTTCTCAATTTGGGCATCGGAGGCCAGCTTCTGAGTCGTCGTGATTTCTTTTGTTCGTTCAAACTCTTCCTCTGCTGCCCGGCGTCGATGCTCCAAGGCCTCGACCTCGCTCCGTTTCTCATCCATTGCCTCTTTAATGTTGTCGAGTAGATTGCGACGGTCAAGGTCATCATCGATCCCTTGCTTCCGTCGTTCATTGATCTCTTTCCGGAGTGATTGCAGGCTGTTTCTGACAGAGCCTCGTAGATCCAAATTGAGCAAATGCGCCGGGTGGTAGCCAGTGAAAGGCTCCGCCAATAAGCGATCACCCTCGGGAGAGATTCGGTTGGCAGGGCCACCAATCTGGCTCGCAGAGAAATTGCTCTCATTAATATTCAGGGTCAGCTCATAATCTTGGCCCTTGGCGTTCTCAGCAGCTGCGGGGATCAAGCTAGTCTGGTAGCCAAGAGTATTATAAGCCTTCACGATCTGTTCCAGATCTTCCAGTTTCTGGCTAGCTTCCGCCTCCTTCTCCATGACACGGACATGCGCCTCTTCGAGGCGAGCCACGGTATCTTCGAGATTCTTCTGCAGACGTTCTCGCTCCGAGTTCATGCGGTCGATATCCTGAATAGTGATGCCTTGGCGATCAACACTTGCCTGGAGTTCGGAACGCTCAGATTCAGTGGCCTGGAGATCGGTATCAGTTTTCTCGATCTCCGTGTCGAGGAATTTGATGCGAGTCTCGTATTTTTCGATTTTGCCTTTGACGTTTTGATTATAATCCTCAAATTTCCTCTTGTCATCCTCCAAGATGCGGAAGTGTTTATCCAACTTGGCAATGTCGGGAGCACTCTTCTCCACTTCTTCGATTTGGTCACGAAGAGCCCGGTTCTCCGCCTCTAGTGCCTCCATTTCCTGCACGTACCGTTCATTGCCAAGAGCAAATTCTCGCGACATGTTTTCAACGTGCGGGATCAACCGCTTCTCGGCGGTGTCATCATCCTCGTCTTCACCACCCTGTAACCAATCGTGATATGCTTGAGTGAGGAACCGGAAAATAATGCGATCACCGGTGACATCGACACCCGCCTCGGCGCAGGCATCATCATACTCGCCTGACTGATAGCGATCCATCATCTGTGCCAATTGCATCAACCAATGTAGCATTCCGAGGAAGGTCGACCAGTTCTGGCCACCAACGGCTGCGATTTGTGACTTCGTAATGCCTTTCTCATATGGGTATCTTAGCTGTTTTAGGATTGGCGGTACTTCGGAGTCCATCGCTTTCTGGAACTTGTATCCTGGATCGATCCGATGATATAGCCACTGGAAGATAAGGTTGAAATCCTTCTGGGTCGGTGAACGAAGAGTGTTCTGGCCCAAGGAATGTTTCATTTCCAACTCAAACCCATGAATAGTCAAATACTCCAACAATTCCTGGCCAATCCGTGCCTGGAAAGATCGGTCTCTGAGAGGGCGCGGGTCTCTGGGAACCCCAGCCACGTTGGGAACTTGAGTGAAGAACGATTGATGTCCCATCGGCCCTCCTCCCGTGGATGGTCGCGAAAACACACTACTTCTGCGCTGTGGGTTTTGAGGTGGTGCAGGAATGGAGGAAAGAGACCCTGGCGCGTAGCTCTGCCGACTGGCACTGGCTCCATTGAACATGTTACTTGACACTGATCGACGAACAGATGAGAGACCGACATCAGCGCCATATGGTCCACCAATTGACATGCGTGTAAAATTTGGCTGCTGTGGGCGACTAGTGGAGCCCATCAATGAACTTCGGTGGTTCTGAGAGCTGAACGGGGGGTTTTGGAATCCGATAGAGCTTGCGCGCTTCAGTGCCGATTGCGGTTGGGGGATGGCGGAGAAATTGTGTACACTCCCGAGAGTCTTGATCGCAATATAAATTAGCCTCAAGTCTTGCGCTAGATAGGGGGGATCTATACCTCTCGGGGGCGCTTAATACTGAAAAGCCCAGTATCTTGCGACATGGTGATAAACAAGCCGCGAAGGCGGCGATAAACAAGGCGATTCTTTTGACAAGTTTTTTTTTGGATTTTGTTGAATATTGACAAATATCCAACGTCCAAGTGGATTCACCACAAAATCCAAGAGGAGGGGTTTAATCTGTTGTTTGGCAGGCACGAGGCGGGATTTGGGCCGGCGATGTAAACAAATGCGTGCCGCTTCTAAATGAGGTAGGCGGTGTGTAGACACAGGAAAAACAGTTTGGCCGATGATCACGAGACTCTCGTCTGGGGGAAGTCTTGGCATTGGCGCGAGTTCCGAGGTCCAAATGGCGATTGCCGATGTGAGCGTCGCATCTCTCCCTAATTCATCTTTTCTGCACTTGACTGGCAGTCTATATCATTCATAATGGCTCCACGCGAGGAGCTGATTGCCTCAGCTGTAAGTTGTCTAGTGACACAATGTCTAATTACCATCGTTCGGGGCCACAGCTAACTCATGCGTCCGCTAGATTACCTGTATGGACTACGAGGCACACAACTTGATGTGTAATGATAGCTGACTTTATCTAGTCCTCCAGGATCCGTCCGTTGCATCCTCGCCCATTGAAAAGAGAGTCTCATTTCTCCAATCTAAGAACTTGACTCAAGAGGAAGTGGACATCGCCTTATCGCGAGTGGGCGAAGACCCGTCTGCCGCGGCCGCAGCTACAGCTTCGGCATCATCCCCGGCGCCTAGCTACTCTTCACAGCCAGTTCCTTACCGGCCACCACAGCCCCCCCCAAGGATATGGCTATCCTCCATATAATCAATGGCAGCCGCCTCCTGAGTACGTTTGACTATCGATTGTCGCATGGTGTTCGAGACTAATCACATGAAAAGGCCACCCAAGAGAGATTGGCGTGACTGGTTTATTATGGCAACAGTGGTGGGTGGGGTTGGTTACGGGTTGTATACTGTCACAAAGGTATCCAGTGGTCCCCTCTCTTAAATTAATAGCGCTGATCAATCTATCCAGCGATATATCGCACCCTTGATCGCCCCACCGACTCCTCCGCAGTTGGAACAAGATAAAGAAAACATTGACGAGCAGTTCTCACGTGCATTTACTCTGATTGAACAATTATCCACCGACACTGCTGCATTGAAGACCGCCGAGGAAGCCCGTACCGAGCGCTTGGATAGGGCTCTCAAGGACGTAGAGAGTCTCGTTGCTGATTTGAAGAACTCATCTCGCCGAAGAGATGATGAGACTCGTCGCATTAGTGACGAGGTGAAGTCATTGAAGGATGCCATTCCCAAGGCCCTTGAGGGTGCCCGGGAAGGCAATGAGAACCGACTGAAGGAGCTCGGAACCGAGCTCAAGAGCTTGAAGACCCTTCTGGGCAACCGACTTGGTGGTGGCGGAGCTACTCCTGTTGCTGGCAGGACCCTTGGATCTACTCCATTCCCTAGCACTCGCCCGGCACCGGAAGAGACCCCCGCCACTTCCACTCCTGCTGCCACCAACGGTTTGGCTGCTACTGTGACTCCAGCCGAACAGGAGCCAACTCAGGCAGCTGCCCCAGCAAGCACAATCCAGAGCCCCAACCCCCTCTCGCAGCTTGGTCGGTCTGCCGCCTCCATCCCGGCATGGCAAATGGCTGCGGCCAACCGGTCTAAGGCCACTTCGCACTCGAGTGCACCTGCCACACCTGCTGAAAACACCGCTAGCCCGAGCCTGGAGCAGAGCGCTCCTACCAGCTAAAGTTGAACTGGGTTTGCTAAATTATTGAATGCTGTATACCTCTCGGCCTAGTGTATTTATCACAATGAAGGGTTTTCCTTGGATGAGATGGTTGCTCCGCAGTATAGCATTTTTTATTTCCATATGAATTTGTAGTCGAAATCAACGAAATTGAGATGAAGAACCTTAGAATGCGCTAGAATCGAAAACCCGGGGACTGGCCGAACCGATAAGGCGACCTGTCTTATCACCCCAGACGGCAATCTCCTCCAGACTTTCCAGACTTTCCAGAACCTCTCAACTACAGAAGAAACAGCCAAAATGCCTTCACCAACTCGCTCATCGCACCGAGCTACCTCTCCTTCTGCACCAAGCTCAAGCCGCCATCACCGCAGCCGCCACAGCCATTCCCACCGCCAACGGCACCGAGAGAGCTCGCGCTCGCGCTCTCCGCACCGATCAGACAGACACAGATCAGACCGTCACCGCCGCCATAGCGAAGACAAAGACCGCGGGCACCATGAGCGACGACACAGAGATGCTCCAGCGAAACCGGGCGTGCTTCCTTACCAAGCGCGTGAGCTATCAGGGCGCGACCTGAAGGTTTACGAACCCATGTTTGGCATGTACTTGGATATCCAAAAAGGAAAATATATCGAAGACTTGAATGAAGATGAAGTGAAAGGGCGGTGGAAGAGTTTTACGCAAAAATGGTACGCCGAAGGTATTCTTTGCTTGGCGCGATAAACACTGACATCGCAGGAATCGTGGAGAGCTCGCAGAAGGATGGTACGATCCCGTTACACTAGACAAAGCACGTCAGCATGCAGAGGAGGAACCGACAACTGGCCCAAGAGGCGGACGCGAATCGCCCGATTATACGCAGGACCAGCGAGCGACTGGTGAAACCCTACAGGATCCACCAGTAGGCGATGACGATGATGAGGAGGACGAGGATGACGAGTACGGGCCTAGTCTGCCAAAATCTGGCTCAGGGAGAGGCGGCCCCCGAGCGGGCCCTGCAATCCCAACTATGCAAGATCTCGAACTCAAAAGAGGTACGCTTTTCTACTTGCCCCAAATATGGCCAGTGTGCTGACCTCCCTCCAGAATCTGCTATTGAAAATGCTATCGCTGCCCGCGGAGAGTCACGCGATCAATACCGTGCTGAGATTCGTTCACATAAATCTACGATGCGCCAGATCGAAGATGAAATTGCACCGCGGGCTGAGCCAGGCACACGGGAGAGACAGCTCGAGAAGCGACGAGAACTTGCTTCAAGTAATCGTGCATTCGCGGATGCGCGTGGTGGTTCGCCCGAAGCAGCTCTGGATGAAGACTTAATGGGCGCAGGCAATGATTTCTCTGCCTTGAAAAAGGAGAAGGAGAAAGACCAACGTAAAAAGAACGATCGTGAGATCCGGAGAGAGGAGATCCTTCGTGCGCGTACAGCGGAGCGAGAAGAGCGTGCGCAGGCGTATCGACAAAAGGAGCAAGAGACGATGGGCTTCTTGCAAGCTCTGGCAAAGCAGCGATTTGGTTGAAAATAAGAAAGGTCGTGTGCACATGCGCCTTTGATCTTAATATCCTATAGTCTTCACTCTTAAATCCAAAAGCAATAATAAATACGACTTACATGCCATACTCTCTCAGTCGGCCCGCCCGCTCCAGCGGAACGGTCCGACACCGCCGTCGGAATCTAGACCATATATGATCTTCCCTGGACAATGCCCAGACTACTTACTATAAACCCAGCATGTTCAAACAACTTTATCGCCTACCATGTCGGTCAACATTGACACCATTAGCACCCGGTAGCCGGCGGTATCTCCAGACCAAAAGGCAAAACTCCCTACCAGCCGCATACTACCGCGGCGGCACCTCACGCGCAGTCTTCTTCAAGCAAGAAGACCTGCCCCCGAACAAGGAAGACTGGGCTCCCATATTCCGCAGTGTCATCGGCAGTCCAGATACCAATGGCCGACAGCTAGACGGATTGGGGGGTGGAATATCCAGCCTCTCAAAGGTATGCGTAGTCGGCGCATCGACACACGACGAAGCCGACGTCGATTACACCTTCGTCTCACTCGGTATCAAAAACACCGACGTCGACTACTCCAGTAATTGCGGGAACATGAGTTCCGCCGTCGGCCCCTTCGCCGTCGATGCACATCTGTTCCCATTACAAAATCCCAGCCCGGATTCAGCCTCGGTACGCATCCACAACACCAACACCGGCAAGATCATTCATTCGTCCTTCCCCGTTGTCGACGGCGAGGCTACCGCGAGCGGTGACTTTGCTATAGACGGTGTCGCTGGTACAGCTGCCCGCATCAAGCTCGACTTCATCGACCCCGCCGGCTCGGTCACGGGGAAACTCCTGCCTACCGGAAACGTCGTCGATACCTTTGACGCTACCAGAGCTACGTGCATCGACGTCGGGAATCCGTGTGTCTTCGTGCAGGCTCTCGATCTCGGCGTGAGTGGGAATTTGACTCCTGATGAGATCACTGCTCATCCGGATTTGTTGCCGCGCTTGGACTCCATTCGTCGGCAGGCGGGCGTTAAGATGGGTATTGCGGATGAGACTGCGGCAGTTCCCGGTAGTATTCCTAAGATCTGTATCGTGGCTGCTCCTTCTACTACCGATTCTAGAGATATCGAGCGGAGGCAGACGTCTGTTGATGTTGATCTACTAGCTCGTGCGCTTTCTGTTGGACAGCCGCATAAGGCGGTCCCGATTACTGTCGCGTTGGCTCTTGCTGCTGCTGCTCATGTGCCGCAGAGTACAGTGGCTGGCGTTGTGAGTGAGGATCCTGTCGATAGCGCTGGGCTTACTATTGGTCATGCCAGTGGGAATCTGTTGGTTGGTGCCAACTTCGATGCAGATGGCGCGTTAACTTCTGCCATGGTCTTTCGTACAGCACGTCGTTTGTTCGAGGGACGTATTTACTGGAAGAACGATAACTGAGCGGGCGAATGGTGTTCGATTGTACAATATAATTGACAGGAAGAGTACATGCACACATGTATAACCGGCTGAAACAACTGAAAAAGACCTGATTATATGAGATATGCAAATAAAAACTTTTATTCTTGTACTTCACAGGTGGTATATCTACATCATGATCTATCCCCAGCTTTAAGCATGTCTGCCGAGATCAATATCAGCAACCAGCTTCATATCATCAGTACCAGCCCCGTCACCCAGCCCAAAGAACGGCTTGACAGCAACATCAACCACCTCCTCAAACAAACGCCCAATAACAGCCTCCTTCAGATCCTCACCAGTCTGCGCGAAATCCGGGTACGCGTTGAGCTCCAGCAGCCACACATTCCCAAGAGCGTCAACGAGGAAATCAACACCAAACAGCTCAAACGCATTGGGCAGAGTCTGGAAATGGACCATCATACCGCGGGCCGCAGCCTCAAACACCTCACCGGTCACCGAGCAGATCTGATCAAAGATCTTCTCCTTCCAGTCTGCACTGAAACCGGGGACGTGGTGGTCGAGATCCCAGAAGCGGCGCACACTATCCTTGTTCGAGCTGCCGCCTTCCTGGAAACAGGTGTTGGTCAGATGGCGCGCGAGGTCGGCGACGTCGTACTCTTCATGCGGAGCGCAGTAGCCCTTCGCAGCGAAGAGCGCGAGCATCTCCTTGAAGACGTAGACTTTGAGTGATCCCGAGGCGAGGACATAGGTGCGGATGTGGAATTTACGGTTTGAGGATGACGGGAGGAGGAGAGGTGGGTCGATGTAGGGCTGTACGAGGAAGTGGCGGAGCTGCGAAGTGACGATGCCTGTGTCCAGGGCGGCGCTGCCGTCATTCGCGTCGTCGCCATTTCTCTCGGATCCGCTCTCGTCGTCTGAGTCTTCTTCCCACTCCTCGAAGATCTCGCGTAGCTGGTCTTCGCTGTTGAAGATGCGGATTCCCTGGCCTCGATCGCTCATGCCGGGCTTGAGGATCCACCATTCCTTTTCGGAGTCAGGTCGATCTTCGTTCTTAGCTAAGCTGTCGTTCAACTCGAATGCTTCTAGCAGGGCGTCGTCGAGGAATTCGGCATAATCGAGTTCGAAGTCGAAGGCGGGCTTGAAGTGGTGTCGAAGAGCGCTCTCTGGGTGTTTCGAGATCCAATTGGCCACTGTGTTTGAGAGATAGTGCTTGCGAATCAAAGCTTTCCGGATGATGTACGCGCTTGAAAGAGACGTCGAGGGCCTGGACATGATATGCTCGAAGTCGAGGCGCTCATATTCCCGGTACTGGAAAAATGGCGCAGATGAGTCCGGCAGCTCGGACACAGAAGACACACGCTTGGAGGCACTTCCCAGGCGACGTGTTAATGCCCGTTCAACCATTTCTTGCACGTAGGAGTTATCGCAGTCGACGAGGGAGTACAACGAGGGCGGATTAGCCGATCTACAAGCTCTCCGTCTATCAGAAAGGGCGCCAATACTTAAAGAAAATCAAATCAAAGGGGAGGGGATATAGTATCTAACAGCTAAGCCAGATATCTAAGGTGCGTGCAACATATAGATTTCGGATAGAACCCTCCATACCATGCATGGCGTCGAAGTCGTCACTCACAGCTTAATCTCCCCCGAAATACCGGGCGCGGGCATGAAATTGGCCCTGAGGGGCGTGACGCTGTAAAAGTCAGTCGATGTTCAAAAGTAAGAGGGCATTGAACAAACCTAGTCATTTGCTCCTTAACAGTCCAGCCATCATTGCCAGGCTCACTTTCCTCCACACTTCGGTAAACATCCTGGAAGCTCGGTGCCCACTTGAAATGCTTGTGCTGAATTCCGGATGGCTTCTGGCTGTTACCGACAATCTGATCTGGTTGCTTTCCTGCCATTTCGCCTTCGTTGCGTAGTTGCTCTTCTTGCAAATCAGGGTCGTCTGCGGGTGTGGGGTCGACAGCCTGGAAGCAACTCCCGGATGTCCACGTGTTCTGCAGCATGTCGGTATATAAGACCTTGTTCTTACTAACGCCGGGTTCGAGGGGGACATTGACGCTAT